TAAGTTTGTTTACTTAGCCTGAACATTTTTAAAAACTCGTTTAAACATTTCCAGACTAAATTAAGTAAAAAGTAGTTAATTTTTCGCAATGCTGTTTTGGCTGTTAATGCTAGACTGAAACACTTCTCATATAATACATGGAAAATAATAATGTATGAAACAGTTTACAGTTTACTTGAAGTAATTTACACCCGCAATGACTCATGGGAAACCTGGACTGTGCACTGTCCTGTCTTTGACACGGAAATAAATCAAACTCATTATTAAATAAAACGTAGAGAAAGATTGTGAATGAATTCTTGTTTTTATCTTTTAGCAACATTTGTTTGACAAAACACTGGTGAAGTTATTACACTCTTTGTCTGACCATCTGGGCTCATACATTCTATCGTTAGAAACGCGGTATAAAACGTTCAATGCACGAAATTGTTAATCGTGTGACCTGAGAAAAAAAAGCTGGTCAATATCTGGCGGTATTAACTGAACTGAAGAGCTTTGTGTGAAAGGATTTGTTTGTTAGCGTGTACCACCTTCGGACCAGCCATGCAAGTACCGGCTGTAAACAGTATAAATAGTTCACGTTGCACAAACCTGGTTACATGATGGTTTTTAAACGTGATTCTTCTTTGACTTTTAAACCTATCGTTAAGTCATTTGCGTAGCGTGATATCGATGAGACCATTGGGTCAAACAGTTACACAAACTTTAGAGTTTCCGAGAGCCATTTCCCACTCGCAATGAACCACGGGTAATCTATGCAGAATAGACGCTCTTGATAGGCTGTGACGATCACATGCGTAACTTACACCGGCAGGTCAGAGCCAGTGTAAACTGTCCACCAAATATGTGTCGTCTCGGTTTTCTATCAGTTATATCCCCCCATGTTTAAAATTTGGATCCCGTGGACTATATAACTCACGGGTTTTTTTCATTTGATTTTACTAAGATAGAAAAGCAATCTTGATGAGTATATCGAGAGTCAAGAGATTCAAGATCCTTTATTTGTCATATGCATAGTTATACGAGTACAACACGCAATGAAATCAAACGCTCTTTGACTCTGCAAAAAGAGAGGACACTACATTAAGCGAATTATACAAAAGACCACGTTATATGGAGTAATATGCAGTAAGTAGCATTATATGCAGAAAGTAAGTGAATTATGTACATTAAGTGAATGTTAAATTTAAAATAAAAATCTGGAAAGTTTTAACTTGAAAATCTAAAAATGTACATGTCGAGTGTGCGAGTGGGTGTTAAAGTGTCCAGTGCTGTAGTGAAGCCGAGAAGAATCAGGCTGGATGTGTTAAGAATAAATCCTGTCTCAGCCATTTATGGATGCGGGAGGTGGCGGGGCATGATCTGGTTTAGGACCAGGGTGGCCTGTGATAGAAGCTCCTCTTGAGTCTGTCTGTTCTTGCCCGAATGATGCGGAACCTTCTGCCTGATTGTAGAAGTTGGACAGTTTGTTGCCGGACAACACCGGGAAGGGAGGGGTCCTTCAGTATCTGAGCTGCTCTAGACCAACATCTCCTGGTGTAGATGTCCTGTAGGGAGGGGAGAGCAGTCCTGCAGCAGCGTTCTGCCGTACGGATCAGTCTCTGAAGAGCTTTTTGATCCTTAACGCAGCTGTTCCCATACCAGGATGCTTTCCACAGCGCCTGCATAGAAAGTAGGGTCCTTCCTCAGTTGTCGGGGGTGGTACAGGCAACTCAAACTGCAGATACACGGACAGTTTAATAAATAATCAACCTAGATAAGCCGCCGTGTTTTAGATTTGACCATGCCAGTACTGCATCCCAGCAGACTCTGTGACAGTACCGATGGCTGCCACATGGCGGCACTCAAACTCCATGCCCCTAAACCTGGATCCATTTGGGAATTCAAATCAGCTTTCAGTCACATGCAGTGGGTCAATGAAGATAAATAGACAGCTGACTACAATAAAATAAGACTACCAGCGTATAAAATGTTTGATTGTAGCTGTCATGTCATAAACGTAACTGTTCACTGGCCGGTATATTATCATTTTAGCCTGTCGCTAGTAAAAGGCTGATCAATACTGACAGTGGCGAGACAAACAGGGAGCACAGCCATCAGTCGCTCCGTGAAGCACAAGGTGGCCCGGATGTGAGTCGCAAACACGTTGACGTGGTTGAGCTTCACCTTCTGAACATCATGGAAATCCACAAGGAGAACCTCAAACGCGTAAACAAGACCGCGATTCACATTTCGCGCCACAAGGTGATCCACGGAGCGAACGATAGCTGACCTCTTTGAGAGTCTTCGGGCGGAAGTGCCACGTCTCACTGTCTTCGGACCAACCACGTGCTTCGTTAGCGTCAGACTTATAAATAGGGCGCTGTTGTCACATACAGTTACATACGGGTGTGTGCAAAAAGCGAGGGCAGAGGAGTTTTAATACGGAGGTTGAATAAATCACGTATACTGTATCACAGAGAACTTTCCGCCAGGCACTCTTACAAGCCTTGCTATCTGTCTGGTTCATTTCATGTTCCGCATGAATCATGGGTAACCTATCCAAATCAGCTACAGCCTTGCCTCCATTTATATTTCTGTGCCAAGACTACCTGGACGAGCTAATGTGAAACCAAACATGTGAGCTCAGTGTGTGTGTAATAGTTTGTAGGCCACAAATATTTTATACGCATTGGACGGTGTGTGTGTAATATGGCTCAGTGAGGAGCTGAGGTGGAGCCACGCCCCCTTCAGGCAGATATGTAGGCAGGTGTATCCACAAAAAAATGTCATTTTTAAGTAGTTGTGTCATTATATCAAAATATTTATTATTAATATTGTGTCAGGGGATTAGGGGAGTGTGCTTTACTTAGTAAGGCCTTGTATCTATGAACTGGAACAGATGTTCTCTAGCTTAGTTTAGCTGGTGGAGTAAGGTAGGTGCATCCCTGATTCTGGAGCTGGCTGTGTGGATTTCACCTGTCTGTACTGTAACTGTAGAATGTAGCTGTAGTAAACTTCAAATATCTGAGCTGGTGTTGTGCCAAAAAATGATTTCCAATGTTTCCTGAGCTTTTTTATGTGTAATATCGTTAGTATGATTCTAAATAGACTTTGGTGAACAGATATTACAAAGGGGTTATATATAAATTAAAAATTACCTGTTTCTCAAGTATCTTTGTAACTGTGTTATTGTACTTACATTATAATCAATCAGCTCCCTTTTGTCCACTTAAAATATATTTACAGAACTATTTTTGATTTTGTTGCAATTTCAGCTGTCCTCTTGGCCAGATTACTCTTAAAAGACATTTTTAAAGTAAACAATATTTTAACTGCATAAATAAAGGATACATAAGAGTCACTGCCAAAAACTGATTGCGGCTTCTACCTTGTTACAGGAATGTTGTTTGTTGCTCAAGGTGACTTGATATCATTCGACTACCTTACCAACAGACCACAGTATGTGAGGCTCCATGAGGGTCCGAGGTGGTAATCTGCAGCACGGGGGCACCACAGGGCACGGTTCTCTCACCTTTCCTGTTCAGCCTTTACACTTCAGACTTCTGTTATAATTCGGACGATTGCCATCTACAGAAGTTCTCAGATGATACAGCCATCATTGGATGCGTATCAGACGGGAATGATCAGGAATACAGGGGGGTCATCAGTGACTTTGTTGGCTGGTGTGAGACCAACGTACTCCAAATCAACGCCGGCAAGACAAAGGAGATGATCATAGACTTCAGGAGGAAGTCACCCCCTACAACACCGGTGAACATCCAAGGGAAAGACATTGAGATAGTGGACTCTTATAAGTACCTGGGTGTTCACCTCAACAATAAACTGGACTGGACTACAAATACAGACGTCCTGTATAAGAAGGGCCAGAGTCGACTCCACCTGCTGAGGAGACTGAGGTCCTTCGGAGTCTGCAGGACTCTGTTAAGGACATTCTATGACACTGTGGTAGCATCTGCCCTTTTCTATGCAGTGGCCTGCTGGGGAGTGGATGCACGGACAGGGACAGGACAGGATTGACAAACTGGTGCGGAGGTCTAGCTCCGTGCTGGGATGTCCCCTGGAGTCTGTGGAGGTGGTTGGCGAGAGGAGGATGTTAGTAAAGCTGACATCCATCATGAACAACCCACATCACCCACTGCATGAGTATGTGAGTGGGCTGAGCAGCTCCTTTAGTCAGAGACTGAAACACCCTCGCTGCAGGAAGGAGCGCTTTCGCAGATCATTCATCCCAACAGCAGTTAGACTCTATAACTCCTCAATCACGATGTCATAAGTCACTGGACACTGTGAACATCCACGGTCACCACTTCATGCATAATGGACCTTCCATGTGTATGGACATGTGCAGGTATATATTATGTATATGTATACATATGTATATTTAGTGTGTACATGTGTCTATAAATAGGAATAGTAGTGGTACAATAGTATTCAAGCTATATAGTTTATGTCTTCCATATTTCCAACCATATCCATAATCACATACTGTGTATGCTACCATTGTATATAGTGTATTATCTTACTTTTTTTCATGATTGTACTTATTTGTATTTTTGTATTTCCTTCTGATATCTGTACCTGAGCTGAGGTGACGCAAAAATTTCCCGTTGTGGGATCAATAAAGTCTTATCTTATCTCTTATCTTATCTTATGAGGGATATATTTGACACATGTTTCACATATTATAGACCAACAAGTTACTTATAGCAGTTTAAATACAAGCAATCAGTTTTTGGCAGACAATCACTTTTTGTCACAACACCTGGTCCTCAGGTGGACGCAGCCTCTGAATTTGGACACCCCCGGCCTGTTTCTGTTTCTAATAACGGTGACATTTAACTTATTTTATCCGATAAATAAACATTGTAAAATTCAAGTTTTTTGTATATATCCCCCCAAACAGCCCTTTTGAATGTCTCCCTAAATCTGAGGTCTCAAGTATGGCAAGTATGTGCCAGGCTTTGGCCCACATCTAGTCTAAAATTGTATGTAACCATGAATAACGTTGTTGCCATGTCCACCAGGAGAGACTGGACAGTATAGATGTAAAACAAATATGCCAGCAGTTCATCTCAGTTAATGAGAGGAGAAGGCATGTGTTTGGCTCCTTCACATAGTGGACATTGAGTTGTTGTGTGGGACACCAGTAGTCCATGTCTGTTGCTGTAACAGTAGTTCATGTTTAGAATAAAAAATCCCAGCTCACTGATTTGATCGGGGCAATAGTGCCTAAAATGTTCATAATTTTGCTGAGAGATCTTTTACTTTGTGGTAATCTTAGACGAGTAGTTTTATGGACAAAAACCACCAGGTCATTCAGTGTTCCCTTAGTGCTAATGTGTAAGAGATGTTGGTGCACTATAACTGAAGTAATGTTGTTAAGTCCTTAAAGTCATATTCTTTTATTGTCATGACTGTATTTGAAGCTATTTTTATTTTTGTATGTTACCTGATTTATTTGGAATATGGCTGAAGCTCCTCTTGAGTCTGTCTGTTCTTGCCCGAATGATGCGGAACCTTCTGCCTGATTGTAGAAGTTGGACAGTTTGTTGCCGGACAACACCGGGAAGGGAGGGGTCCTTCAGTATCTGAGCTGCTCTAGACCAACATCTCCTGGTGTAGATGTCCTGTAGGGAGGGGAGAGCAGTCCTGCAGCAGCGTTCTGCCGTACGGATCAGTCTCTGAAGAGCTTTTTGATCCTTAACGCAGCTGTTCCCATACCAGGATGCTTTCCACAGCGCCTGCATAGAAAGTCCTCAGTTGTCGGGGGTGGTACAGGCAACTCAAACTGCAGATACACGGACAGTTTAATAAATAATCAACCTAGATTAGCCGCCGTGTTTTAGATTTGACCATGCCAGTACTGATCTCGGCAGACTCTGTGACAGTACCGATGGCTGCCACATGGCGGCACTCAAACTCCATGCCCCTAAACCTGGATCCATTTGGGAATTCAAATCAGCTTTCAGTCACATGCAGTTGGGCGGTGAAGGTAAACTGACAGCTGACTACAATAAAATAAAGTTACCTTAGTAGAAATATGTTAATTTGTGAGACAATTTTTTTTCATTGTAGCTGTCATGTACATAAACGTAACTGTTCACTGGCCAGTAATATTATCATTTTAGCATGTACTAAAAGGCTGATCAATACTGACAGTGAAGAGACCAACAAGGAGCACAGGCATCAGCCGCTCCGTGAAGCACAAGGTGACCCACATGTGAGTCGCAAACACGTTGACGTGGTCGAGCTTCACCTTGTGAACATCATGGAAATCCACAAGGAGAACCTCAAACGCGTAAACAAGATCGCGATTCACATTTGGCGCCACATGGTGATGCACGGAGCGAATGATGACTGTGCTCTTTGGGGGGCTTCGGACGGAAGTGCCACATCCCACTGTCTTCGGACCAACCACGTTCGTAATGAGAGTCAGACTTATAAATAGGGCGCTGCTGTCACATACAGTTACATACGGGTGTGTGAAAAAAAGTGAGGGCAGAGGAGTTGCATTTTAATACGGAAGTTGAATAAATCACGTATACTAAAATCACAGAGAACTTTCCGCAAAGCACTTATACAAACCTTGCTATCTGTCTGGTTCATTTCATTTCCGCATTGAATCATGGGTAACCGAGCCAAATCGACTAGACCCTTTCCTCCACTTATATTCCTGTGCCGAGAGTACCTGGACGAGCTAATGTGAAAGCAAAAACATGTGAGCACAGTGTGTGTGTAATAGTTTGCAGGCCACAGATATTTTATACACATTGTAATATGGCTCAGTGAGGAGCTGAGGTGGAGCCACGCCCCCTTCAGCCAGATATGTAGGCAGGTGTATCCACACAAAAAAATCCATTTTTAAGTAGTTTCTTACAAATATCAGACACGTCTTTCTGCTGCATGATACTTTACTATTTTTTTTGTGTCATTATATCAAAATATTTATTATTAATATTGTGTCAGGCGGATTAGGGGAGTGTGCTTTACTTAGTAAGGCCTTGTATCTATGAACTGGAACAGATGTCCTGAGCTTAGTTTAGGCTGGTGGAGTAAGGTAGGTGCATCCCTGATTCTGAGCTGGCTGTGTGGATTTCACCTGTCTGTACTGTAACTGTAACATAGGACAAATGAGAGTGCAGACACATATGATGTTTATTCCAGGAGTTTCACACAGGTAATAATACATTTCAGCTGAACTTTAAAATTAAAGACTTCTTGTCTTTACTGTCTGTGATTCTTTATCCCAGTGATCTGTGGCAGGTTGCACTACAGCACAGTTTGAAATACTGCTGGTGGAAACCTGTAAAATGCTCAAGCTCCACTGTTCTCATAGAAAAGTATTCCTCAAGACATAAACAACACAAACGATTATATTTATTATATATTCTTTTTTATTATTCATATGAAAATACAAAATTAAGATACATGCAATGGTACTGGCATAAATACAGTAAAATCAACATAAAAATTAATTATATAAAAATACTGGATGAATTAAAACACATGAAAGCTTCCTCTGTGACAACTCCATTAGTTTGGTAAAAATATGCTCGGCACGTCATGTCGAAACAGACAATATTCCACTTAAAAGATATTTCAAAGCAAAGAAACCAAATATACATTGTATCACATATGTATAAAGCTTGGTCAGCACACAAAAACACAGGAGGCAAGATTATAAATGCAGTTATCAGCGGACAGAAATATGCCAATGCAGTGTGGAGTATAATGCATAAAGCAGCATTAGTGATCATAGTGGAATAGTCATTAAAAAAATAAAACACATTAAATTAGTGGTAATAAATGCAATGTAATGAAATGTAGTGGACTAAAGCAGCAGCACAGTAATCAGCCACCTTAGGACAAATAAGTTGACATGTTCGTCTGCTTACCTACATAAACAAAAAAAACGTGGAAGTAGCGCGCTCTGGCGCTCTACGTGCAGGCTATAGGATCGTTCGCTTGAACCAATCCCCAGCCAACGGACCAAGCCAAAAATTTTTCATCCTGCTGATTAGTTCTTCCCTTTAAAAACAGCATCCAGGACCGCAATTCCACACTAGCGTACTTTCTCACCACTTTGGCGTTTTGTATGTAGATGCATGTAGTGCTAAAAAAATATTTAAAATGTGATTAAAAGGCACAAACACACATCTTTAGTTGATAATGGACCATACATGTCATAACATTTAAGAAATTAGCAGGCAAAATGTACAAATACGTTGGCGTTTTATTAACACGTTACCTATGCTGACACTGTTGTAAACCCGGCATCTTCATCCATTCAGAGAAGGGCTGATTAGTTTGGTTTGTGCGAGTGTGGTTTGGAACATTAGTGTCATTTACCGTGCAAGTATAGCACCTTGGAGCTACACGAAAAGCCCATAGTAAATAGCTGCCTGCGCGCGCACACAGAGCAGACAATTCATCACATGTGTATATACTCACACATGATCATATGATGCATGCATGCACATCCACGCACAGATTTAAGACCTGAGAATGCCCCATTAATCATACATGAAATTAATTCATTTAATAAAAAATATACCTTTACTAGATTATGAGGCATTTCATAATGTACAAATGCTTTTAAATGCCTTTCCCCCCATTTCTTTGGAAATATTGGAAATATGTATACAGTTTGTATAAGATGTTGAACACTGTAGGGCATAATATAGAGACCAAAGTCAGCTCTGGTTTAACTAATGTTTCTAACTTACATAAAAAAATCAGAACAAAAAAACTTTATTCTTCTCTGAAGACAGTTAAACTGTCCAATATCTGCCCGCAATTTCACATGAGAGCTCTGTAACACAACATGAAGTGTTATCTGTGTAACACAAATGCACATAAGCTTCATCCAGGAGGAAAATAAGGAGCTGATACTTTTGTCTTCAAAACCCCACAAAGGACTGCAGCATTAAAAAAACATGAGGCCCGTACATCTGCTTCACTACACCATGAACTGAGTGTATCCCTCAGCGCCTGTGACGATCACATCCATCCAGATCCTCATGGCCTCGGGAGAGGGAGCAACCATGTAGTAGACCCTATCGTGAGTCTTCACGCTGAAGGTCAGGGAGGGGTTTGGGCTCTGAAGGAGGGAGAGAGAATGAATTGTGAATGAATAAGAAAGAGTTATGATGCACTTTTTGTATCAGCGTTGGAGAATGCATACCTTGTGTGCATTCTTCAAGTGATCGTAGTATACTTCTTCAATAGCTTGGAAGTAAATGACTCCTTTCAACTTGACTTCGTGCTTGTCTGGAGAGAACATACGAGTACATGCCAAATTATAAGAAATACACAACTTTAACATTTATGTGTGTGATTCTATCTACACAGAGAGTTTTTTAAATTGTTTTTAATCAGACTGTGCTGAGTGTGGTTGCAAGTGTGTGCTGTCCTTACCTGCGTAGTAGGATAGTGTGCGTCTGTTGCGGTCAAAGACGAACCAGCGTTTCTTCCACGTTTTGATTTTGCCTCCCATCTTGACCAAGTAGCCTCGGCAGGTCTTTTCAGAGATGGACAGGTGGAAGCACGTGTCTAGGCTGTGGCCCGCCGACTCAATGTGAGCCCGCAAGTCAAAATCGTCCTTCCTCACAGGCAGATACCGAGTAAGAGGCCGGGACTTGAGGGAGAGGAATCATTTGAGAATGTAATGACAAAGATGTATTTATAATTTCTTATGAATTCTTTTGTTTTTACCAAATTCCTATAAAACACAAAGATTTACAGAAAGTCATACATTAGGAAACATCAGAGTATGGCACTCTTTGTTCTGCTGCCAACATTTGATGGTCTGGGAAAAAGAACTAAAGATGATAAATGAAGCTTACTATGAGAACTGTCAACACAAGGATCATGATTAAAAAAAAAAATACTGGTATGTCTAAAGGGCTGGGCGATATATCGAGTTTTTTAAAAATATCGATATATTTTCATACGAGATATAAGATGTGACAATATCGTTTATATCGATATAGTCTATGTTACGTTATAATTATACTTGTGGAGCCGCAAGTTTGCCTCTCTTTCGTCCACTTTTGTCTCTACGCAACGTTACTCGGCCTCGCCTCTCCTTCACTGAACACAACTCCCCCTCCCCCATAGCTTCACCTGCAGGCAATGACAAGATGAACACGGCAAATCTCCGTTAACGAGTTACCGCGGATCGCCCCGTGCGTGGGGCTGGTCGGCGTCAATGTGTTAGCGAGCTAACCGCGCTAACGACATGCAGCCCACAGGAGCTGCATGGCCTAAAATCTGACCGTGGTACACGGCGCTCAGCAATCTGTCAAAAAATGTTTTAGTACGACTTTGGTAAGCTACGAAGTTGCACCGCTTGATGGATTGTCGGAGCATTACGGCTACCGTAGTCTGGAGCCTCGCGGAGTGATACGTACTGTGCTTCAACGTAATATTACCGTATTGTGTGTGTATAAGGGCCATAAATGGCACCTGTTCAAGAGACATGGTTACAAAGAGGATTTCAAACTCAAGGCTGTCAGTCACGCAGTAGAAGTTGGGAACAGAGCAGCTGTGAAATCTGTCTTTGTTATTATGCTCAGCGTCTGTTAGTTTACATTTTGACTGCACAATTATGAGCTTTTTGTTATGCACAAAAACAACATTGTTTTCTTTTATTTATGGAGCATGATTATTTAATAAATGCTGATAATTTATTTTTGAGTAATTTCTTCATGTACATCTATGCTGTATGTTAATAAAAGTGCCTGTGTGACATCTGGGACACAGCTTTGACTAAGAACTCTCTTTTTGTTCTTACCTTATGGCTTTAAAAAAAATATTATCGAGATATATATCGTATATCGCCATCCAGCTAAAAATATCGAAATATGAATTTTGGGTCATATCGCCCAGCCCTAGTCTGAAATGTATAAAAGTAAGCTACAGAAACAAGACAGAGTGCACTGTCAAAAGAAGGTAAAAGGTTAGTTCCCTTGAAGTTCATACGTATGTTTTGGATAAAGAACCTCTATTATCCACAGCTCTTCCCAGAGCTCTTACCTGCACCCTCTGCTTTTCTCGAAGCTTCACCTCGCGGTCGATCAGTTTCTGGCGTCTGTTGGTCTCCTCTTGTAACCTTTTCTCCAGATCCTCGCGTCTCCTCCTCTCCTCTTCCAAGGCCTGCTTTCGAAATTCCATTTCCCGCTCCTTAAGAACGATTCAGATGCAGTCACAGGTTATTTAATGACACACACATAAAAAACACAACAATTTTGCAGTTTGGGCAAATGAAGTAGCACCTCTATCTTTAAGGTTTGGAATTATTAAAAGATACTCGACTGATCTGCATGTTGGCTTTAACGCTACATATCTCTCTAACATTAAATAAAATGTGAAAATATGAATAAATCAAATAGTGACCTTGTGTTCGAGGAGGCGGTTCTTCTCGGCCTGCGCCTCTCTCAGCAGGCGCTCCATCTCCTCCAGCTTGGCTACATTTGACGTACTGGCACTACAGCGCAAAAAGCACATACAGCAACAATTATAGAAAATAATGTATCTTTTGCTTTACATCAAACACTTGACACTTATAGAAAAACAAACAAAAAACCCACTTTGGGATTTTCCAAAAATGCAAGGGAGCAGCTCGCGAGTTAATAAAAAAAAACAGTGGGTACACCAACACGCGACATGAGAAAATCAATGAACTTGACTTTTCTTTGAAATTGTTTGATGAATGTCGGCATTACTATAATCCAATATAGGGCTCCAACTATCGATATTGTTTTAGTACTCGAGTTAATCAAGTAATCGGATTAGAAATACTTATGTCTTATCACTGAGCAATAGTAAATATTCAGTCAGTGAAGAGAAGCTAGCATGTCAGCATAAAAGTGACATTCTTATTGGTATAACTGTTAATAATTAATAATAACAATTAATGCTAGTAATGATTCAGTGTGCAACTTAGCAGTTTTATTTTTTATATTTTTAAATATTATATACAATACCATTTAATAAATAAAACACTTTAATTACTATAAATCTGCAAAGTCATGGTACTAAAGTCTTCAAATAAATATGGCCTAGAACACCCCATGCCCCCCTTTAGACTCACCCCTGCAGTTAACATTGTGATAAAAAGTGGGACGGCTTTAGTAAGCTGCCTAATTTAAACAGTTCATCTACATCTTCTATTGCAGCTGTATTTGTAGTCTCTAGTGTGGGTGAAACGCTCACATAGTCATGGTGACAACTGAGCCCTAAAGAGTTGCGGATTAAAAAAAACATCAAAGTGAAAAACTTGCATCGAGGATTTTTTCATAATGGAGTTGGTCGAGTTGGTCGATGAATGGTTGCAGTGTGTGTACATACATGCATACAACACATGTAGATCTACAGCCAAAAAGAAGAACTCTGTTTAACATTCCAAAGTAAACGCTAAACTGTCCTGAGAATACTGATTATTCACTGCTTGTGTGTGTGTGTGTGTGTGTGTGTGTGTGTGTGTGTGTGTGTGTGTGTGTGTGTGTGTGTCTGTGTGTGTGTGTCTGTGTGTGTCTGTGTGTGTCTGTCGCGCGCTAAATCAAAGAGGAAATCCATTAAGAAAAGAGGCCGCGTTGCCAAGGCAAACCATCTATATTATCTCTTTAGGTCTTTGAGGCCTTGTCTGATTTAGAGTCTCCCAAACTGCATATGGTCTACACATGACACTCACTCCTGACATCACAGCGAAAGGATCTATTTATGTATTTCTCTGTTACGTCAAGCAGTAATTCTTTTTCTCACACTAATTTTCTTGCCAAGTCTATTTACTCTCACAAATGCACTTCTGGTACCACCGCCGTGCTGACTTACATTCATTTTATGAAACCTTACCCAAGCCCTGAACATAACCTGCTTTACCCTAACCTTAAACCAAGTCTGAGCACTGCATTTTAAATATTTCTGTTATTGGAATTTGCCTTTTTATACTCAGGGGAAGGCCAATTCCCAAAATATGACCGTGTAACCAGATTTAAGCAACATAAGCAATGCACACAACACACATGCACACACACCCACCCACACACCCACACACAACCACACACACACACACACACCACACACACACACACACACACACCTTCTTATCTGGATCCAGGAGGAAATGAATACCCGGTGTTGATGTCACAACAGTGCTAAGAAGAATGGTGCACATCAGACTGAACTATAAACAAATCAGGAAGCGAGACAGGGTGGAGAAATTTGGAGCAGCCCGAGTGCAGAGAGGACAAAAAAGGAACGGGAGGGAGGGCATGAAAAAAAACTAACAAAAAAACTAGAACATTTGCAAAAGGGAAAAAACCTCTTTTTTTCCCCCCACTCTGCTATTTTTTCATTGTCTTTTTCATCAGTTTCCAGATGCTTTTTCTCAACAAAACACAAGCAAAGAATCCAAAAACAGTAACAAGTCGAATCATTTTGAAAGAAATTAGAGCGCTTGTTACTATTAAATGAAAAAGTACTTAATTATGAATGAATATCAACATATCACCAAAGTCAAATATGAATTAAACAGTACCACCGATGGCATTTTTCTTACCTCAATCGACGAGAGGTAACTGCACTCATTGTCAATACACACCCGTGCAGTTCCAAATGTATTTATTCGAGTTCTGGACTACTTGGGAAAAAAATTGTTCTAACACTTCTATCTCCCGAAACAGGACTCATCGCTGCAAATTACCAAAAAAAACTCCAGCTCTGTCATAAAACTGATCCACATTCGTGGGTCATGTATCTGACTTCGACGAAGGAAAAAAGAAAGTAATTGTGTATTCTTCTAACAACTTCTATTCGTCTCCACGATTATACGGGAGGACTCATCAGCCCTGCAAAATTACCAAAATAGAACTCCAGGCGCTTTCTTGCACAAAACTTCGCATCCACAGCTCCCCAGACAGTGGAACATTCCAGTGGCGAAAAACACTAATTATATCACCTCATACCAAGATCACTCCATCAGCATGCTAATTTCCATGCTTAGCCTCCTATATACGCCTTATCTCGCTGAAAATAAACCCGAGACACATCCACGGTCACCACTTCATGCATAATGGACCTTCCATATGTATGGACATGTGCAGGTATATATGTATGTATATGTATACATATGTATATTTAGTGTGTACATGTCTATAAATAGGAATAGTAGTGGTACAATAGTTATGTCAAGCTATATAGTTTATGTCTTCCATATTTTCAACCATATCCATAATCACATACTGTGTATGCTACCATTGTATATAGTGTATTATCTTACTTTTTTTCACTGATTGTACTTATTTGTATTTTTGTATTTCCTTCTGATATCTGTACCTGAGCTGAGGTGATGCAAAAATTTCCCTGTTGTGGGATCAATAAAGTCTTATCTTATCTCTTATCTTATCTTATGAGGGATATATTTGACACATGTTTCACATATTATAGACCAACAAGTTACTTATAGCAGTTTAAATACAAGCAATCAGTTTTTGGCAGACAATCACTTTTTGTCACAACACCTGGTCCTCAGGTGGACGCAGCCTCTGAATTTGGACACCCCCGGCCTGTTTCTGTTTCTAATAACGGTGACATTTAACTTATTTTATCCGATAAATAAACATTGTAAAATTCAAGTTTTTTGTATATATCCCCCCAAACAGCCCTTTTGAATGTCTCCCTAAATCTGAGGTCTCAAGTATGGCAAGTATGTGCCAGGCTTTGGCCCACATCTGTCTAAAATTGTATGTAACCATGAATAACGTTTTGCCATGTCCACCAGGAGAGACTGGACAGTATAGATGTAAAACAAATATGCCAGCAGTTCATCTCAGTTAATGAGAGGAGAAAACATGTGTTTGGCTCCTTCACATAGTGGACATTGAGTTGTTGTGTGGGACACCAGTAGTCCATGTCTGTTGCTGTAACAGTAGTTCATGTTTAGAATAAAAAATCCCAGCTCACTGATTTGATCGGGGCAATATTGTGCCTAAAATGTTACAGAATTTTGCTGAGAGATCTTTTACTTTGTGGTAATCTTAGACGAGTAGTTTTATGGACAAAAACCACCAGGTCATTCAGTGTTCCCTTAGTGCTAATGTGTAAGAGATGTTGGTGCACTATAACTGAAGTAATGTTGTTAAGTACTTAAAGTCATATTCTTTTATTGTCATGACTGTATTTGAAGCTATTTTTATTTTTGTATGTTACCTGATTTATTTGGAATATGGCTGAAGCTCCTCTTGAGTCTGTCTGTTCTTGCCCGAAAGATGCGGAACCTTCTGCCTGATTGTAGAAGTTGGACAGTTTGTTGCTGGACAACACCGGGAAGGGAGGGGTCCTTCAGTATCTGAGCTGCTCTAGACCAACATCTCCTGGTGTAGATGTCCTGTAGGGAGGGGAGAGCAGTCCTGCAGCAGCGTTCTGCCGTACGGATCAGTCTCTGAAGAGCTTTTTGATCCTTAACGCAGCTGTTCCCATACCAGGATGCTTTCCACAGCGCCTGCATAGAAAGTCCTGAGGGTCGCTTCCTCAGTTGTCGGGGGTGGTACAGGCAACTCAAACTGCAGATACACGGACAGTTTAATAAATAATCAACCTAGATAAGCCGCCGTGTTTTAGATTTGACCATGCCAGTACTGCATCCCAGCAGACTCTGTGACAGTACCGATGGCTGCCACATGGCGGCACTCAAACTCCATGCCCCTAAACCTGGATCCATTTGGGAATTCAAATCAGCTTTCAGTCACATGCAGTGGGTCAATGAAGATAAATAGACAGCTGACTACAATAAAATAAGACTACCAGCGTATAAAATGTTTGATTGTAGCTGTCATGTCATAAACGTAACTGTTCACTGGCCGGTATATTATCATTTTAGCCTGTCGCTAGTAAAAGGCTGATCAATACTGACAGTGGCGAGACAAACAGGGAGCACAGCCATCAGTCGCTCCGTGAAGCACAAGGTGGCCCGGATGTGAGTCGCAAACACGTTGACGTGGTTGAGCTTCACCTTCTGAACATCATGGAAATCCACAAGGAGAACCTCAAACGCGTAAACAAGACCGCGATTCACATTTCGCGCCACAAGGTGATCCACGGAGCGAACGATAGCTGACCTCTTTGAGAGTCTTCGGGCGGAAGTGCCACGTCTCACTGTCTTCGGACCAACCACGTGCTTCGTTAGCGTCAGACTTATAAATAGGGCGCTGTTGTCACATACAGTTACATACGGGTGTGTGCAAAAAGCGAGGGCAGAGGAGTTTTAATACGGAGGTTGAATAAATCACGTATACTGTATCACAGAGAACTTTCCGCCAGGCACTCTTACAAGCCTTGCTATCTGTCTGGTTCATTTCATTTCCGCAATGAATCATGGGTAACCTATCCAAATCAGCGAGAGCCTTGCCTCCATTTATATTTCTGTGCCAAGACTACCTGGACGAGCTAATGTGAAAGCCAAACATGTGAGCTCAGTGTGTGTGTAATAGTTTGTAGGCCACAAATATTTTATACGCATTGGACGGTGTGTGTGTAATATGGCTCAGTGAGGAGCTGAGGTGGAGCCACGCCCCCTTCAGGCAGATATGTAGGCAGGTGTATCCACAAAAAAATGTCATTTTTAAGTAGTTGTGTCATTATATCAAAATATTTATTATTAATATTGTGTCAGGTGGATTAGGGGAGTGTGCTTTACTTAGTAAGGCCTTGTATCTATGAACTGGAACAGATGTCCTGAGCTTAGTTTAAGCTGGTGGAGGAAGGTAGGTGCATCCCTGATTCTGGGCTGGCTGTGTGGATTTCACCTGTCTCATGAAGGCGAGAATGTAGCTGTGTAAACTTCAAATATCTGAGCTGGTGTTGTGCCAAAAAAGTGATTTCCAATGTTTCC